GATAGATAGATATATATATCTATATCTATATCTGTATTTCTATATTCCTATATATATATAAACTTCGTATTGGTTGCTGCAGCATTAATTCTTCAGTGTCTCCGAACATATTGTTCACGTTATTCGCGCTTTATTATAAGTTGTTGAAGATGTTCGTCTTGTATGTTTATAGTAGAAGATTTGGTGCTATAGCACAAACTGTATCTCCTTATTCTGGCTTTCTCGTTATAATAAATAATAATAAAACACGCATTTGTTTCATGAGGGGTGTGACACCGGGCCACCTTACGTATACGAGGGTCCATGAGTTTTTGATCTATCACATGATTGTTCATGCAAATCCAGCAAATAGCACATTCCAGATACCTGCTGTATATATTCCATGGGTGTATATTCACTTCTCAAGTGATTGGCACTCCAAAACTATTCTAAGAATTACGCCCTCCTTATGCCGGTGGTATAGATATCTCTTTGAAGCTGCGTGTATGGTGGTGATGACGTTCTTCGCACTATACACCACGGGTCCCGTAATGTCATATATATGTTTATGTATTAAATATGTAATACACATATATGTTATACATGTAAGACACACACATATATATATATTTATGGAACATGTGATACGTATATGTGCCATATATATGTAAACAAATATGTTTATGTAATAAAATGCAAAACATGTATGTTATATATATGCAATACATATAAATGGTTAATACAGACACCTGTAACAGCATTGCAAGGTATTTTACGCTACTACATGATGCCCATAACTACCAAGAGCTGTGTGTATGGTGGTGACGATTTTCTTTGTAACGTGGATCACTTGTCGCATCAAATGTAGTCCACAGCTACATCTGCGTCCATATGAATGTATCTGCTTGCACATACATCTGTTCATGATACAGACACCTCAAATAGCATGGCAACTGTTTCTGCTATTGACTGTGATACCTTTAACTAACTACTCAGAGGCTGTGTATGGTGGTGATGGGGCGCTGTACCACCATTCATATGGATGTATATGTCTACACGTACACATATCTATGGCACAGACACCTAGTACTTATAACAGCTGGACAGTGTGTTTCTCACTGCTGCCAGTGATGCCCATCATGACATCGAAGTCTCGCCGGCAGTAGGCCTGTAGAAGTGTGTGATAATGCGATTGCTTCACAGTAGGCGTAAGCATGAACAAACTTTCATGGCATCAATGGATGAATATACACAGAAGCATGTGTGCGTGTTTCTCTGTGTAGACACACTCCATACTATACTTCTAGCTTACAAAGACGCGTACTGCTACCTACCGGGTTGCTCTGAACGTTTCAAGCCGTACCTAACGTTCGAACATACATTAATCTTCGGAATGTATGTAGTACGTATGTATGTAAATATGAATGCATGTATGAATATATATATATATATGTATCTGTCTATATATATATATATATGTATATACATATTTATATATATACATATATATATATATATATATATATATATATATAATAATACTACTACACACACACACACACACACACACACACACATATATATATATATATATATATATATATATATATATATATATATATACATATATATACAAACATATACAAACATATATATATACCAAGATAAAGAAAAACTTGGATACCGAGTTATTAGTCGGGTCGACTGAACAGAAACAAATTTATAGATTTCAGATAATTGTTTGTATGAAGGAATCTTCAGGAGATTATTTTGGATATAAATACACATAAAAACAAACTGGAATCCGTATTTAGTTGTGCCGCTATAAAGTCGAGGACATATTGCTCGCTAGTAATGTCGCTTAAAGCGGCATTAACGCATACAAAATAAGAAAAAGAAAAAGAAAAACGATGAAGATTATACCGATCTAAGAAGTTCGTACTCGAGTCATATACGATTGTTGGCTTGTTCGAACATGCACGCAAATACATACATTGAGAGATATATACATACATAAAGAGATAGACACAAACGTATAGAAATATACACACACGTATAGAGAAATACCCATACATACGAGATATTCACACACACAAGTGCATAGGATAGAATAGCGCCCTTGTGCTTACCGCAATGATGTCCACAATGGAGAGGACGCCCGCCGTGTTGTGTATGAGAGTGATGGCGTAGAAGAAGTTGGCATTGCCTGAGCCAGCGAAGATCCACTGATTGTAGAACACGGGTCCCAGATAGGCCGTGGCGATGTACATGCAGCAGATCACAAAGGGAAATCTCATATCTGGAATATATATATATATATATATATTATAAGATTGTCCGTTGGTGAGCAAGGTTCATATCTGAGATGTCCCAGTACACGTTGGTATAGATGAAATGAACAAAATAGGACTATGTGAGCCAAGCACTGAGCACAATACCTGTACTAGGCAGATCTTTAATCAGGGCAGAATAGAAAAATACGAGCCAAAAAGTGCTGAACCACGGGGAACAGCACATGTAGCATGTGCATACAGTTGACTGTGATACGTAGGTCAGTCATGTGCTTGCAGTCGACTAAGATATATATACACCAATATGATACGTAGTTTAGATGTGCATCCAAGCACGACGAACTATACAAGGAGTAGAGCACTGCATATGAATACATCAGGCATGAATGCACAGAATCATCATATATCGATTCAAGACAAAAGTTGCGGACAGAGAGCAATGGGACACACAACTTGGACGGCATGTGCACATACGCATACAAGCGCAATAAGCATACAGTTAGATTAGGACAAGCAGGTCAGATATCACAGAGAGATAACACCAGAAACACAGAGTGAGGAGGAAACATATATCCATCCCTGGAGCGTATACACACCGACACAAACACCGACACCGACACAGACACAGACACCGACACCGACACCGACACCGACACCGACACCGACACATACACACACATATATATGTA